GTTCATTCGTTTGTTCGTTTGTTTGTTTTATTTATTTGTTTGTTTGTTTGTTTGTTTGTTTGTTTGTTTGTTTAGTGCCAAAAGGGTCGTTTCCCAGTCCCCGCGCAACGAATAAGGGCCCATTATCCTCTCGGCCCCAGCCCTCGGCCAGGAACGCCTGCCACGTAGACAACCGGACAGCTACAGGCTTTTTCAATCGCACCTTTCAACCCCTACCCCTGCAAGAAATTAAACCAACTAAAGAAAAATTTCACAGCCGGTTTAGGATTGGAAAGAGGGGCATCTTTTCTCCCATATCTTTTGGGGCTGATTTCAGAATAACTGTCGAACCATTTCACAATAAAGCACAATAAAACGACGGCTACGTTTCTTTGATCTATTTTGATCCTGTTGTTGTAGTGAATAATTTCAAATACGAAGACAAAAGAGATGAGCTGTCGAAGCTTCCTTCCTTCTCTCCCCCTTTTTTTTAATTTTTTATTTATTTATGTATTTTTTTTGTCTTTCTTTTTCTTCCTCTTCTTTTTAGCTTCTTCTTCTTCTTCTTTTTCTTCTTCCAATTGTCTTACGATAATGTTTAAAACAGAATGTAAAGGTGAGGTGTGAACTGCGAACTACTCATACATAAATTCAGCTGCAAAATAATTGAAATGAACTGATTAACAATTTATAGTGATTTACAGCTTCACTACCAAGTACAGACATGTTCAAGAAGATTGTTTGAGAGATTTATCAGAACTTATTGTAATGATCCCGACACTGTAAAAATCAGTCGCTAATGAGTTTGAAGAGTGTGTAGGATCGCTCCCTGGTTGCACAAAGAAACAGACAAGAATCCTCTGAATTGCAGCTGGCAGTGTAGTAGCCTTAAACAAAGAAAATCTGCCCACGCCATTAAAAACAGGTTTTCAGTCCGAGCTTTAAAATGAGTTATATTTAAATTCATTAACTTATACAACGAAGAAAAATTGGATCAAATGTGGTGAGACTCTACCTCAATGGACAACATGCTACCACACTGAGTTACAAGACAATGTTGATCAATTTATCTTGGAGATGAATATAACTTGTCCATGTAGGACGAACAAAAGGAGCACTGTCAAACAGCTGAACACCATTGTCAGACATTTATCCAAACATCTGAGGAGTTCTCAAAACATTATCGGCAAAGCATTGGAGGACATTCCTAAAATTCTTGAAGTTCTTTCAGAAAGTTTCGAAAAAGATGATACCTCCGCATTGTATATGAAAAAGGCACCTACTTCTGTAGCAAACACCTAAACCCTCTGGAACTCGAGAAAAGCTCTTGGAGTCCTTGTACAATCCCATGCTGCGTAGTCTGTGCTTTGAAAGAACAGGGAGTCATTTATACGATAGAAAGCAATCAAGAAAACACAGCAAGACATTCAAGTGACGTCGTCCAGGGTGCTAGGGAAACTGTCGAGCTGATTAATGAATCAGGAACTAAAACTTTGGCTTGTTCAAAGCTTCAGAGAAGAGATACAAGCAACAAAGACTTAGGAATCATTAATGCTACATTCTCAAGTTCTAGGAACTATAAGAAAAGTGAGCATTTTGAGAAGGAGAAGTCGTTGACAGACAGCAGTCAAAACCAAGAAGAAGCCGGAAAAGAGGACCAAAGTTTGACAACTTCAAAGATCCATGCAAAAAAGAGCTCTTTCTTCCAGCCTTCGATTCAGGATGAAGAAGGATTAAGATTTCTAGGAACTGTAAATGAAACTTTTCATGAGATTGATTCCAGCGAGCACAACCATACTTTAGAGGCCTACAGAAAGTTACACTCAACACTTCCCAAAAGAGAGTGCCAGAAAGTGAATTCGCAAATTTATAATAAAAATATATTGGAAGGTTTAGTTTTGAACGATTTACCACAGTTATCTACTATTGAGAAATTTTCCAGTGTTTTGCAGTCTGTTATGGAAGGTATAGAAAACTGCTCTGATCTTGCAACAAATCTCACATCTGATACTCATAAAAATCTTGCTGCAAATCCAACAGAAATGTCAGAGGATTTCGTCCCAGCTTCGAACGATGCTATGATGGCGAGCTATTCTTCTTTCTCTTTTGGTGAAGATTACCTTGGAAGTTCATTCAAAAAATTGGATGACCCGGAAGAAAAGCCTGTTAAAATATTCGACTTTGCAGCAGAGGAATCTGAAAGAATAACCGAACATCCTGAAGAAAAGGAATGGAGAGAGAGGAGAGAGAGAGACTCGAAAGCAGAAGAGAAGCTTCAAATTGACAATGACGCCAAATCTTCCAACAATAACACGATGAAAATAGGTGAATCAAAATTTGAAAGAAACTTCGAATCGCCGAAGGAATTTAATAAAATGGAGCCTCTAGGCACCCCGGGGAATAGTGGAGGCTCACACCGAGGAAGCTCTAGCTCTAAAGCAGAACCTCACGACGTAAAGGAATCCAATGCGCGGGTACACAAGCAAAACGGCGTAAGGAGAAATGTGTCTACTAAGACAGATCGGGGGTTCAAGTTCTTCAAGAGAAAAATATTTTCCAAGAGTATGAAGAACAGTTCTACAAAAAACAAAAGTGAAGGCAAAGGTTCACCCTCGTTGGAAAGTTTTGATGGCGTTAAGCTCACGAGTAAAGCACTCGAGAAGGAAGATGGTGACAAGAAGGTTGTTAGTGATGCTCCCAGTCGTATCACTGAGCTTGAAAACACGATCAAGCAGTTGGAAAACGAGAAAAGTAATTTAGAAGGAGAGAAACTAGACCTAATGAATGCACTAAGTAACATTTGGATCGAAATGGAGGATTTGAAGAATTCCTTCGATAAGGATCAAGGAAATGTGGACATCGTAAAGCCCTTGAAGGAAGACAAAACTACTATAGTATCTTTTCAAGAGATTGGTCATGATGAGGATAGCTCTGATGTAAACAAGAATAAAACTTCATCCTTTAGAAAAAGACACGAATTGTGTCATCAAACGCAGGAAGAGCAAAGTAAAGTGGATTTGGAAAATCAGATAAGGGCACTTAACACAAAAACCTCGCAGAGTGAAACTCTTCAGTCGCTTAGGATTAAGCTGAGCGTCATCAATGAAGATAAAGAAAACCTATCGAGAAAATTGAACGAAATGTTCGAGAAAAATAAAGTCCTGGAGGAGAATCTCCAAAAGATATCTGGAAAGACAAGTCCAGAGGTCGATAAGATTCTGGAAGAGAATCTATCTTTTCGATCTCGTTTGGAAAGCTTATCTAGGGACAAACTCCTGTTGGAAAAGAATAACCAGAAATTGAAAATTGAGAAAAAGAAACACAAGCTTATGAAACTGCAAATCCAAAAAGGATGCGAGAATCTGATACACAGGATTAATGAAGTCCTACAAACAACACACGCCGAGAAAGTGAATGCAATTCCTCTCCAGCTGAAAAGCATTCCTACCTCGTCCAAAAACAACAAGTCGTCCTTCGAGAAGTTTTCGGCGACTTCTGAGATGTCTTCGAACGTTGACAAAGATGGTAATTCAGTGGAGCAAATTGCAAGAAAATTAGAGAGGACGAATAGTATTGACAGTGAAGTTCGAACACGTAAAAAGATTATGAAAGAATTTGAAACATCCAGTCGTGATGGGAGAGAAGAAAGACCACCTGCAACTGTACGACGTGCTGAAACTTTAAATTCTAAATCTTTCAACAGCGATTTTACAGACGGAAAAATAAAAGAGATGAAAGTAAATAGATTTCCTCCTACCCAATCTTCAAGAGGAGATAAACCTCGGAAAGATTTGAAATCTTCGAGTGCAAATGAAATTGGCTTCCGTTCGACAGTGCCATCAGATATTCAAGCACCATCACTGAGGTCAGTCACAGAAAATGAAGCTGATCCTTGTTTGAAGTTTTTTGAGCATCTTGAAGCCAAATGCGTGTTGCTTTTGGAGAGGTTTACAGTATTAAATGGAAAAGTTGAGTGGCTTGAGAGGAATGGTGATATCTATGAATCAATGTCGCCACAGGGAACATATAACGCAAATACACAGCAATCCTCACCGGATGAAGCAGCCAGCCTTGACAACGTGTCAACCCAAAACAATCAAAAAGATACGGTTCTGTTATCGTGTCTGAGTAATCTGCAGAAAGAAAATGACAACCTTAAGCTTGATAACCTACAGTACGAGTCGCTGTTCGCAAATATGCAAAACAAGAGGAATGAAAATCTGAGTGAAAGAATGGAAGATGAAGTCACGACTCGACGAGCTGAAAAAGATCTACACGATCTTGAAATCCGTGTTGTTCCTGAAAGAGACGTTGAGCTGCAAGAAAACATGGTGGAAAGTGATGAAAACACGGCCTACATGAGGGACAACGGAGAAATCACAACGGAACTGAATCATTCCAATAACGACTTTTCTGACCATCAACTGAAAGAAGAAGAAGACATGAGTTCGTGGCATCGTAAGCATTCTAAAAAGGAGAGTTCAAAGGCACTCCATCAGAACCAAATAGTCCCTATGAAGATAAGACAAGCCACATCGCTTGGACAGCTTCCCAACCTGCAGGATACGTTGCCCAAGACAGAAGGGGACGTGTATGCCAAATGTGGTGACACCAATACTGACAGACAAGCAAAGGGAAAACCCATTTTGAGAGCTCTAAGCTTAGGTGAAGGCAAAACTGTAAGTTCAAGACTGGCCCACCAACCAACTCATCCAACAAATGAAAACCTAATTAATACAAGTCCAGAAAACAGTCTGCAAAAACATGACCAAGAAACCATCATTGCTCCTGACAATGTACCCAACGATGACCCGGTCCTAAACTCGCAGGAAAGATGCTGCCAGTCGTTCAAACTTAATGGTAATCATCATGAAAATTGTAGCTTTATATTGGCCCGTTTGAAGAAGATGACGCCTGTCGACGAAGCCAACACTACAGCACCTCCGAAAACGCGCGAAAACAATAAAACATTAAAGAAAGCGATGTCTACGTATGGTAGCCGTGATTGGGGATACAAGGTCCACTATGTGTAGACAAGTGTTTGGAATTTATTGATTGGGGCACGGAGAAGCGAAGGAAGAGTGTGTCTCTTATGAGGCTTTAGAAACTGGATTGTGCATATTGTTCTATATATTATTTATATTGTATTTATTCTTGCTTAATCGCCTTATGGTCATACTTCACTTTTATACTTTATTCAATCTCAAATTCAATTAAAAATATCACTCAAACGACATGGTATACAGACAATATACAACTTTTCATTTAGGTTTGATTTACTGTGAAACCAATTCCTCATCAAAGAGAGAATATATACCCCACACACACAAAATAAAAATCACTTAGACAATATACAAAAATTAATATCATCTCAATTGATCCTAACGACAAAATAGGAATTTAAAATTTGAAAAGAGAAATCCATTATGCGTAATGAGAAGATTAAGGAAGCTAAGCAGACTGCACTTTGAGCAATATAATCTCAAACTAAATCCAATTTATGATAAAAGGTCTTAACCTGGGCTAGTGTATGCCCAGTGCACACCAGATAAAGACTACACCATTTATATATTGCACTTCTGTCATCTTTAAGTGGATCAAAGCTGTGCCTTTAATTTAGTGCGGTTGTATTTTCCGTGATAATGGGACTTCCACTCGGACAATATTCCATCAATCAACGAACGTTTCTTTCACATATATCTATAATTCGAAGAATTCAATATGAATTGAAGAGATTCCGTTTTCTAAGAAGATTCATTCGACTTGCCCTTTTTGAATTCAACTGATAGAATTCCGCTAAATTCAGTTTCGCTCTGAAGGTATAAAGGGAGGTACTAAGACATTAGACACGATAGGAACGAACGTGAAAACGTACAACAAGGTGCATATGTAGAACTCACAGAAATCTTTCGCTTATTACGAAACAGTCTAGCATTTTATTTTGTATTTTTTTGTATTTTTTGACTTCAATTTTAATTTTTTGCTCTAGTCTTATTCATGACCGATTATTTAAGTACTTTATAATCTTGTTATAATATTCCATTTAAAGTAAAGGGCGAGTGCCTTGTTTTTCAAAAAGAATTTGTCTGGGATGAGTGTCACCCTTCCTCCCATTGGTGGGTGATTTAATTATAACTCTCGCTTGCAACCTGACCCCCATTCCCCCGGCCACCGTTGATAAGACATTTATATCTGAGCTCACTTTTAAAGGCTTAACTACAATGTTCGTTGTTCAGTAAGAAAGCCTTGACATAAGAACTTAAGTGCTGTCGCTATCCCCGGATTATCGGGGTTTGAAAATAACTGAAGGCGGTCGATAAGAAAATAGCACATGTAGGGCTGATTGACTAAAAGGTAGTTAAAGGAAAAATAGGTTATTGGAATCAGAATAAGACGAAATTCCTGTCAATAGATAATTTGATAGCTACGTTCACGAGCATTGTTAACTACACGGACAATGTGTCTCCGTTTCTAAATTGAAATCAAGACTGGAGATTACATCGAGGAATCAAATTAAATTGAAAGGGAAAAAGTGGGAAAGTGAAAAAAAAAAATTAAATATCGGCACCAGTACTCAGTTACAAATTGCCTTAAATATCATAAAAATGTCACTTCTTAGAGATAAATATAAATAATACGATTAATTATAACAGAAATAACAAATGTTGGTCAATGTGTAATGGTCAAAAAAACACAAAAGAAGACGGTGGATTTAGGGTCTACTAATGTGTATTAGGCTCATGTCAAAGGTCGAACTTCACATGAACCGAACCTAATAACATCAAAGAAGACCGTCTTGATGTCCATTGTTGTAATAGACCATTTTCTCAAGGTTGCGTGCGCATCCAACTTGACAGGCCACGAAATTGAAAAACGCAAATTGAGTAAAATTGAGAAGCCAGTTCTATATTTAAAGAGGAGAATAATCAATTTTATGAATTCTTATCAAAAAAAAAAATCATAGAAATACATGATAAATTCTCATTAGAAATCTCCTGTTCTGGTATCATGACCCGTCAAGTTCCTTAAATTTGGATGCGCGCGCAACCTTGAGAAAACGGTCAATTAGGTTTGGCTCATGTGAAGTTCGACGTTTGACCTGAGCCTTAGTCTAATATCTATTTCACAGGTTTAATGACTTCACTCTTCTACTACTACTAATAATAAATAAATATCATACGTACTACGTATCCAAACAGTAAGCTAGTATGGATTGAGAATGACAAAAATATGTATTACCCAAAAAAAAAAAGTATTTTGGCAAAAGAAATAATAAATGCAGATGTAATTTAAGACCATCGTATTTCTTGTACAGCTAAATGAAATGGATGTCAGTAATGATAACAAGAGTCGGTAGCTCTCGTTCATCTTTATATCCAGGTGTAATGGACCCTTTATTGTCACACGGCGCCAAGTGTATTCCCATGAGAATATAAACCTTTGTTTAACCATGAGTAAATAATCCTGAAGCGATTGAATGCGAGGTCACGCGGAGGAAATCTATTGGCTGCCGCATGAGAAAGGACTAATTAGAAAATTAAGTTGATTTGATTTTCGCGGAGAACAGGCGAAACTGTAGGCATTATGATGTATCACAATCATACATCAATATCATCATCATTCATCATCATCATCCGTCTTCATCATGCACCATCGTCATCATCATCATCATCGTCATCATCATCGTCATCGTCATCATCATTATCATCATCGTCATCATCATCC